CCTCTTCTTTGAAGAGAGCTGGGATGTTTATAAATGTCCCCTGTAATCCATAAATGGTATCTATGGCCAAAAAGTGTCAAACTAAGGCGCCAATTCAAGAACTTAATGGTCGCGCGGCCAGCAAAATAATTAGGATCGCTCACTCTCTCTCTCTCACTCTCTGAAACAAACAAGAGGATCTCTCACCGGTACAACCACGGATAAGTCAACCTCTGAGGCCGATTTACTTCTGAACGGTCTAGTCTCGTTGTTCTCCATCTAAGATGTAAAAAATTCCAGCTTAAATAATATACAGAGAGGACAAAAACAAATGTTACTTTAATAATTACATTTCTGCTTACACGAAATTCATTTGATGAGGATGGTGCAGCTCGGATCTTTCTGAGAAACTCTTCCTGCAAAAAATAAGGTACGAGTGGTTTTATTTAAACACACGGCCAACACGTAAATCGAATTGATTACAAACGGTAACGCGCTTCTTTTGCGAATCTCATTTGTTGCTATGTAAAATAAGATTTATTGCAAACTATGCTGTAAAGAAAGTTCACAGAATTCCCAGACACTGTCACAAAATATGTCGTACGTTAAATAGGACACAAAAACGTCACAGAGAGCGGCAAAACAAGTCAAAGTAGAAACCGATAAATTTTACGACCCTTTTAAAAATAAATTCTTCACAATTGTTGTTCGACTTGCATTTGACAACATTTGTGTTCTTAGCACAACAAAGTCCCCCCTCGCTAAGTCCCCCAGGAAGAACCCAAGGGGTTTATTCAACAACATAAGCTGAGCACTGAGAGAATAAATGTAGAAATTGAGTTGTCACGCAGGGGTTTATGAGAGAAACTGTTTGATCTTTCATTATCTCTTTTTAAAACAAGAAAAAAATTACTTTCAAAAATTAGCATTTCATTAACGTAAGAACTCTGCGTGAGGCGATTATGACAAGATATCAGGTAATTCTTAACCATGAATCGCCACTGAGCAATTAAACTTATGTAAATTGTTATTTTAAAAAAAGCGTGTGTACATTGTAATCTTCCCTTCCCTCTAAGATATTATTGTACTTACCGTATCTGGATCACCCTCAACATTTTGTCCAATTGATGATACTACTGTTTCTGGAGCTTTTCGAGCACTTTTACTTATCACCTACGATAAAACCAAAAGAATTTTGTTAAGCTGGGCTTGATTTCTGTCCCAATCTCATGCAAATAGCTACTGGCCACCCAAGCCAAACAGTTTGCCAGTGCCCACTCAAAATAATCGGCAGCAGAGAGAAACACTGTGTGAGTACAGAGCCACCTTAAAATGTAAGAAATCACTCTCATTTTGCTCAATAAACAGTACCTCAGCTCTCTCTTGAACTTCAACTAAGAATGAATCCTGTTTTCTTTTCTGTGAAACTCCTTTACCAGAAGATTCTCCTTCATCATCCCCTGCTGCTGCATCTCCCAAACCCATCTTTGTTGATGTTTCCCTTGTTTTGGAAACAGGTTTCAAATTCATCACAAGGGTTGATTTTGTTGATTTCTGTACAAGTTCACAAACCAAATTTTCACCAGCTACATTTAAAAGGTGAAATGCAACAATAAGTTAGTTCATGTAATTTGGCTGCCACAATCTTTATAAACAAATAGGCGCTTGATAGTTACAACTTACAAAACTGATGTCACTGCTTTCTGACTGAGGAACACTAAAATAAGTTAAAATCTGTCAAAATAACACTCTCATTTTCTCGTGAATGGTTTAGAGGTGTCCAATGAATAACCTGTGCACTGAACTGTGTGGTACTTTTCTCCAATTTTTGCTTGCTGATAAATTTGTGCCCTGCACACTACCTGTTCCCATGACTGACTGTCCCTGTAGCTATGTTCTCTTGACCCTTAAACTCCCACAAGTGATTAACATGTAACCTCTTCTTATACTATCCATACATTTTCCAACAAATGGGTAATAAGAATACTCAAGCTTAACAAGTGGATATTGTTTTCTTGATTGAATACCAAATTCATGTAACTAATTAACAACGAGATGTGCAACAGCTATTGACAACACAACAACACAATCGCTCACAAATCTCTGCTTAGACACCCTTTTCCAATCTGGTTGGCAGAAGTATAAGGTTGTTTAGGATAGAATAGCAAGTGGCTGGAAGATTTCGAAGCCATTAGATTTGCCTGTGAGAGGAAGTGAAAGCACTGGAAAGACACAAGCAATCAGATCTTGTGAATTAAAGGGATTAACACCACACCCCTCTGGGATAAGACCAAGAACTGAACATACTGTTCTGAAAAATGGAGGCTAGTGATTATTATAAACATACAAATACTCTACACAAATTGATAAATCACAATCCATTGATCATACCTGAGCTGTATCCATCCTCATAAGTTGAACTTGAGGAGGTCTAAATAATGGCAGAAAAACATTTTATGTGAGAAAAAAGTAAAAAAAACCTGTTCACAAGTGTCAGTAACAACTCATTTTTGGTTACAAGCATTTGCCTGATTTTCTTGTCTAGAAAAAGCAATTGGAATAAATCAACTGCACATTCTTAAACCCTGGAAATTGGCTTTGGTTTTTTATTTTTCGGCAAACTCCTTACTTTAATAATTTCACTGCAGATCATACAACTGAACAAAAATGGCCATGATACTCATAGCTGTAAGAAGTATCCACCTAGATGGCACCAAATATATTTTTAAGTGCAGGCCTTGAGGGGTTAAATTTCAGGAAATGATTGCAGAATTCAAATTGGAGAGGAGTCTTTCATTCATTATACAATTTTTATGCAATCAGAGAAAAACAACTTTTTCTGCCCTGGAATATTAGAAAACCTGATCATTAGAGCCCAGAAAAATGTAGCCCCATATACTTACAGTATAGCTCAGAGATACATGGCAAAAAAACATGCAAAGGTTTTGCACATGCATTGGCCATCTAACGCTGGGCTGTGCTGTATGTAGACTTTGCCTGGATTGCAATTTTCCTTAATTGTTCAAAGACTTTAATTACTTTAAAATGGGCATACAAGTTATGCAATGACTACAGTTCAGTTAGAAAATTTTGGTGAGGACTCTTCATGAGTAAAATCTTAGCTGTGGAAGTGACTGTGGAAGGATTTTGTCTCTTACTCTAAATAACTAGTATTATTTCAAAGAAAGGGTCATATTGTGCAAGTCACCTCTTTAAGAAGTTCCCTCTCCTTGTCCTCCTTGAACCTGTCTAACAGACCACGCACAGAATCAATATCATCCTTCATTTCTTCATCACTGCCATCACTCTGTGAAAAAAAAAATAAGAGTTGTCAACCCTACAGTACATCTACAGTAATTCACCCTCTCCTTCCATCCTCAAGTATATCATTAGTTGATTTTCATTCATACAGCCTTGTAACAAGTATGTGCCTGACCAAAAGACAAATAGTTTGCTACCTCTTGCCTCAAATAAGGTACGTGCTACTAGAAAAGTGGGCAGCAATTATTGTACTTAGGATTTGCTTAAGACTGAAGTTCTTTTCCATCTGTTAAAGTCATCAGTGAAAAATGGTTGACAGAAGACAGACAGATTCAGATTTCCTTTAACACTTTAACCCCCAAGAGTAACTAACATCTTTTTTCTCCATCAAGGTCACAAGAATAAAGGAAATAATCATTAAAGAAGCTCTTGACTGTTCAACCATTTCTCCCCATCAGCACCTTACAAAATGTATGGAGGACAATATGGAAAATATGCATACTGATGCTAGGCTGTAAAGGTTAAGTAGAGACTATAAGTTTCCCTTCAATGTAGATAATATGACTGCCTATAAAAGGCAACAAGTCAGTGCACATACCACACAGCATTCTGTAATATTATACACAAGATTAAAATTATACACAAGATGACATGAGGATTTGAAGTAAACCAGAAACTACAATTTTCCACATCTAAAAAATACATGTACTTCTTTAGTCTCTGACACTACACACTGTATGCAAAATTAAATAAGATTTGATCAGGTCAAAATTTAGTTTTTGCTGCTTTGTGTGGGTAATTAGTCTTATTCACTGTCATGCAAACAAATGACCTAGTGTTATAAGGTCAATGACGGATTTACCTGATTTTGATTTAAGCCACAGACATGTTGACATACATTTAAACTCAGAACAAGACACAACTGTTTGCCAGAAAAAAATACTTTGTAAAACTTTTTCAAAACAATTATCTTATTCCACCAAGCTGCCACACAAATAATTTTTTGTTTTCTAAATAAACTCAGGTTTCTTTAATTCATATCTTCACGATGCTGGTCTATACATATCTTAATAAAATATATTACAATTAATGTTACAACTACCTTTATTTGTCTGCAATAGTCACAGCTGTTACTCACTATCTTACTTCATTTCAAAGGTTGATTAAATTTGAAGTATACTGTGAATGCATCACAATGAGGCCAAAAAAACAATCCACATGTACCCCAAAGAGATTAACTGTTGAGAATGTGCAAATCTCAAACAATAAGCTAAATAAGTCCCATTTAAATTCTCTCAGAATTTCTAAATTTTGTTCCCTTCACTGTCAGCTGAAGTCCCACTTGTCAGGACTTTCTACATTCCAGCTACAATGTAGTTATTACAGCTGCAGTAACAATCCTGTACACAGAATGCAAATAATATCTTGAAGCTAAGTACTGTAGCAAAATAAGTGTTTGTGGAAAAGCATTCAGTCACTTTTGTACCTCACAACTGTACAAAGTTTTTTTTCTAGCAAACAGTTGTGTCTTGTACCTATCTTTAAGACCTAGCATGTACCTTGCAAGATTTCATTGAATGCTAGACTAACATCTCATATAAGAAGAAATCTGAACAAAAAAATCATTGACAAAACAATGGCGCATTTAAAACTAATCACCTCTACACAATTGCTGTAATTCCAAACTGATAATTGTGAAAGTGCAAATCTGTCTCTTACAGAAGAACACTTTATCTTGATGTAATTTCCGCATGAGTCACCTAATTTACTTCAAAAATGTCAGCATTCACAAGTGATTCACCGATAACAAAACAATGATTTCAAATAACACAATAACTCACAAATCTCTGTTTAGGCACCCTTTTCCAAGCTGTTTGGCAGAAGTAAGGTTGTTTAGGATAGTACAACAAGTAGCGGGAAGGTTGCAAAGCCATTAGATTTGCCAGTGCCGCAAGAAAGTGAAAGCATTAGAAAGACTCAAGCAACTCTTACACCACACAGTCAATTCACTTCAGGTTGTCAACTTAACCACTTGCAATCATTAGCCACACTAATTAGTTTGGGTTCATTTGCAGTGAATAAATATTCAGACTATCACTCTTACCTTATTGTTTACAGCAGTTATGCATATAAAAACCATATTTCATCCCATGAGGTCTCATAAACTACAGGTGCCTTGGTTAAATTTCAAGCTTCTGCTCAATTGTTGAATATTAACCAGTTTGTCACCCTACTCAGTCAGGAAATTGAAAACTGACTTGACATGGTAAATTACTAATTAAAAAGGAACAACCACTTTGTTTTCAACTATGAGGAGAGGGAAATGTAGAAACTTGAAATCATCATAAAAAGCTGTTGAGGATTTACATTAACTGTAGATTTTCAAGAGAAACCTATTCAGGATTCCTATACAGCCAGCAATATCATTTTCCATTTTGAACTGGTTTTATTCCTTTTTTAATCACACAACCACAAATTAAAGGGAACTTTAAAGTATGCAAATTCTATTTCCTGTCACACATCCATGTGAAAGTCGAGTTATTGAAATCCACAACCAATTTTAAAGAACATATTTACAAAGCAAATTGCACCCAAATCAAGATACTGCATAATTTACATACCAGTAACCATGCAAATAACTCAACAATATTCTTTCACAACAATACCTCTTTAAAATGGAATTCAAATAAGATAAAACAGTAATTTATTAATCACACATTCTGAAACAAAACTGCAGGTTCTGAAAAATTAATAAAAAATTCATTAACACCTTTTACAAAATATGTAACCATAATTATTTTTGATTGTTGCATTATTTTGGTTACCATGGCTTGCATATTAACCTAAATTAATTATAGTGCTTCCAAGTTCAAGTTCAAAACAATTCAATATGCTTTTTAAAACAATATTAGTGTGAAGATGAAAACAAATGTCATGTGGTCAAATACTTGCTGTCAAGTATAAGGAGTATTCATTGTGTACCTTGTTAAAGTTGCATCTACTTGCCAAATTCACCCCAAAAAATCATCAAGCTCTTAACGTAAAGTAAAAACTCCATGGCTGCTGATGTTGCCTTTTTGTAAGTAGTATTATCATATCATTGTAACAAAGAAATATAGAATGCAATGATGTTGTCATCTAGCCATTTAAAACTGAGAGACTTGAATGTTACAAATTATGTCAACTCCTTTGACAAAAACAAGAATATTCAACCTCTGTTCTTAAATTATAACTAATTCTTTTTTTATTCATGCTGATCATTCAGACACCAACTCAAAATCTTTTATCTCAGATCTTCAACACTGATATCTTGAACAAATATCCTTTAACATTGAATTACATGAATATGTATAACTCAGAGATTGAAAGTCCGAAAAAATTGACTTTGTCAATTATCTGCACCTGTCCAATGACTCCAATCTATAATGCTCAGAGTCCCGAAAAGTGCAGTCACGTGAAATAACCCTCCAGTGCATGCAGACAAAGTCAGTACCCCGTATTATGTCTAGGCAACAGGTATCATATAATACATGTAGTTCCGAGAATAATATATACCATTGTATGCTCATAATCTTGAAACAGTGACTGATATGTGAATCAAGTTCATTGTTCTCCCTTATTTTAAGCACAACAGGTAAAATATTTTCAAATAGGTAAAGCAATCCTTTTATCTGTTGCATTTTCAAGAATTCCAACCAATTTTAGACTGTACTAAGAGGTACTACAGGCAAATTTTACTTGACATAGCCTGAAAATAGGAACACAGCAAGTTCCCACATAAAAAAATCAAATGAGCTCTTGCTGACCATAACTCTACATCAGATGATAGTCTAATAAAAATTCCTCTTTCCAACAACAAGTCAGGTAACTACAGGCACATTGCATGATACATGTATCCTATTCCTGTAATAACTGTTATTTTTAGGGAATAGAGCCTTAAGAAACATTTCATATCTTCTTTGAGCAGACTTCTCATCACAGCTGAATCTCAAGCTGGTGCAAAACTGACTCTAACCCAACACATGTGAGTAAATGTAACCAATTCAAAAATTTGCAGTCTCACATTTTTTCCTTAACTTCTCAAAAAGTAACCTGATTTGAAAACTTAACCCTAATCCACAATTCCTTTTATTTTAATCCTGATTTCCTTCCTGCTAGGTAAACTGAATTCCTTATGAAAACAAAATTTAAGAAAACTGGCTCATCTTTGGGATATTATTCAATTAGTCTCATTCATGATTCAAAGCACATAAGTTACAAACAATGTAATATGAACTTGGACAACCAACTTTTGTCCTAAAATAATGCTGTTCTCATTTTGAAGGTTCAAGCACCTTTTGGTACAAAGTAAGTCATTCCAGCATTATAATTGTATATGAAAACAAACTCAATTTTTTTGTCTCAAATCAGGGAATCCCGACCAAAAAAAAAATTTTTAGAAAGTACACTTAAGTTTGATTCTTACACAGGGCACATTGACAGATACCCCTGCCACATGTTTCTTTTTGATATACATGCAGAGCAATTATGAACAAGATATTCTGTAGATTTAAATGACTGAAAGGTTCTGCCATTCACCACAACAACCTTGTTCTTGCTTCAAAAAAAAATTGGTTATTGCAACCTGAATTCCAAAATTAATTTACCAAAGTGTATACAATGTAACTCAAGAGGTAGTTAGAAATCTGAAAAAAAATTCCCTTGCTACTACACGTAATCCTTTGCATAAATTTTGATAACCTGAGTTGTGTTTGATTGAGATGGGGAGAATCTTCCTCTGTCCTGTAGTACTAGTCTACACCCCCATTGTTCTACTACACATCTTACTGGAAGCCTTGAATAGTGCTTCCTTTGCCCACTTCAGTCTCTGTCACATTGGCTAGCCTTACTAAGTCTCAATAAGTTTCATACGTATGTAAAAAAAAAAAAAAGGCCTGTTTCCACTCCAATTTTAACACTATTATCTGAAGATAGGTAATTTCTTGAAAGGTACCCAAAAGATTAAGAGCTCAGACAAGAGAGCTTGGAAACCTAACTGGATCATAACCTTGGAGTTCCTTCCATGAAATGTCAACTTCAGATTTCAATGTCTCATGGCTGGATTCTTTTCAAAGGATCCTAATAGATCAAGAGCTTAGACATACCTTCACCTCACATCTGTAGAAACTATGCATAGAAAGATTGCAAGTTTGGAGACCTTGTAGTCAGACACACAAATAACAGACTTGAGTCCTTGTCTGCCATGCATTATAGTTGGTCACATAATACAGGGTCTGGGTTAAAGATACTGACAAGTGGATTAAAAATGTAACATTTGAAACCAATTGTCTGCATAGTCAAAGCTTTTCCAAGATTTGTTCTACTACAAAGTGGTATTTACTATTAATATTCCATTGCAATTGGACAATAACAATGGTAAAAAGGGCATCATAAATGATAACACAGAATTTTCACCATAATTTTCAAAAATGTAACTTAAATTTACAGACAGTAAAATAAACTTTTCTTCATAATTAATAAAAGAAAAAAATTTTTATAATCATATCTAAAATATAAGTGTATTTACAGACAGAAAGCAACACCTTGGCCTGAGTTCACACTGAAAAAGTTTTGTCTTCAAATGGCTAATGAAAGAAAAAGCACTGACTGCAGGAAGGAAGTTGAACAATGGATGCTTTCATGAAAATCCTGGATAATTATAACCAAAGACTAACAAGTCTACACAGCTGTTATTTCCTTCTCTTTATTTTAACCGAAAAAGGTCTTCAAAAGTCTATCTTTTGGACATGCTGGCAAATATCTATTATGATATTATTTGGTGTGTACACCACAGAAAAAAAAAAAAATTTGGTACACCTGTAACACTATCCTTAAAATCTACCAAAAAAAGGCTCAGTTAGTCATTGCCTAGGGCTGCTGAGAAATAGAGAATGAAAATTTTCAATGCGTTCAAGAGTGCAATATTGCTCGAAACACAGACCATGAATATTTTGGCTTGGACCATTCAAGGTTATTCAGTGTTAGAGTTATTGGGTGCAATATCAAGAGTATCAAAAACCGATTTATTGCAAATGGTCGCTAATACTAAAGCATTTGTTGATAACAGGCGGATAGTAGCTCTTAAAAGTGAACAGATGGAAAAAATTATCTAATGCCCCTACAAAAAATAAAATTGCGAGATCCGCAAAAGGATAAGAGTAGAAAGAGAGCGCCTCAAGCTAATTCTTTATTTATTACAACGGGAACAGACTGGGCAATTAGATTTGCCTAATGCGCGTGAACTAATAATTAGACGACATCAATATAATACTGACAGCACTTGAATAAATCCTGTCTTATACCACCCGGTTGCCAGTGCTGATCGGCCGTAACAGAAACAAGATTAAATTTTCTTTTGTGAGACTTCAGGGGATTTGAGGCTAGAACATGAAAAAATGCCACTTCGAAACTTCAAATACTTGCTAAACCAAACACTTTTACCATGTTACAACTAATTTTCCCTTTGGCTATATATACTCGTCTATCGATAACCTTGATATTTAAGTCCGCGTTAGCGAAGATATTAAAAACCCAAATTAAAATTAAAACTTTTCCGCGATTTGATCATATTTCGGCACAAAACTGCCTTAATTCGTAGGTAGATATGAATATCTTACCAACAGTAGGCAGGGGTTTTCAATCGGCTCACAGATTTGTTGATAAAATCGGAGGAAACCGTGAACTAAGAATCGTGAGCTAGTGCGTCAGCAGTAGATAAGTAATCAGTCTGTTCTAGTTTCTAAAGCCCTTGAATTTTTAAGTACTGAAACACTACAATAACTTGACGGGAAAATGGGAAAATTAGCACAGATAGGCCTGTATAGTGCGACGTTCATTCATCAGACGTGTTTATCGGTCAGATAAAATAACATTACACCCGCGATCGCGCAACGTCTGTAAAAGACGAGTCGGTTCTCCGGTGCTTGACAACATACTG